GGGGGGGGGGGGGGGGGGAACGGGAGCAAGGTCTTGGAAGGGCTGTTTATCCCGCAGCAAGAGTTTGCTTCGATAAAGATGACTGCTATTAGCTCAATCAGATATCTCCAGCTTCTCCCTCCAATAGATCTCCCTTCTTTCAATCATAATCCCCCTCTCCCAATTCTCAATTGCCATAGCCTAGCTCTATTTTCTGGGTTCAAGAATCCATCATTTTTCCTAGTACCTCGAATCTATCGCCAAATCATAGCTTCCTCCTCGTCGACGTCAGAATATACAACTATAGCCAGTGAGCAAACCCCAATGGAAAATATTAATTCTGTGCCGAATTCTTCCATGACTCTTCTCTTTGTCGAAATGGGCGTCGGCTATGATCAACATGGGTCTCTCTCTCTCTCTCTGCTTTTTACTTTTTGTTGTTAGTTGTAGTTCTATGCATATTTTTTACACAATAAGATCACCTAAAAGATAAATACATATATAAAGTTTTAAGCCAACATTTCTATTGACAAATAGGGGGTTTGTAATAAATTATTAGACTGTCAATGTATGCAACTTTAATCCTTTTCTTTTTTAGTTCTTAAGATGGTGTCCCGAACGAAGATATGCTACCTCCTTAGAACAGTAGTCTTTGTGTCAGCTCGCATAACTAATCCATTGAGTATCTATTACCTCTCACCCACACAACTAGTGAGTAATTCTGCCAATTAAGAGCTAGGTAGATACGAAAAATATTACTTGATATGGCCTCTGCTGGAATCTGAATCCAAATAACTAAATAGCATTAGTGAGGATGCCCGTGCCCAGTCCCAGTAGCTTCTCTTTCAGCTGCGTCGGGGCCTTTGGAGAAGGAAGTAATCCATTTCTATCTCTTTCCTCAAGGATTAAGGTTCCTGCCCTTCTTGTGTCACGAGCTTTTTCCATTCGATTTCTCTTTTTAAGGATTGGAATGGAAACTTTTGGTAATGGTCTAACTAGCTCCACCCCTTTGATGGGCAATTGACTTCCTCCTTGCGCTCAACTGCTTGTATATCGATCACAAAGTAGCAGCTGCAAATGCCATCGGTGGTCCTTCCTTCCTATCCCATCTATCTACTAAGAGTTGCTTGATTTGCCCCCATCTTTAATAGGACTGGACTAATCTGAACCTTGATTCTGAGGTTGTTATTTCAGCTATTCGACCTCTGGGTCACCCCTTGGGAGAATGTGCCTTGATGCTTGTTTTATATTGTTTTTTTGAAATTGGTGTAGGAGAAAACAGAGCAAGCAGAAATCTTTTTTAATTGAATCTAACTGAGTGAATAAACAGGCAAGACGTTACCTCTGCAGCAATGCGGGCTTGTAAGGATGCAATTTCTTCCAATTCAATACCTGCTTTCAGAAGAGGTAACAACTTCTTTTCTCTGGCTTGTTTTTGCTAATTATGCTTCATTTGCAAATTAATATACATAAGCTGGCAGGATAATTAGTGAACATTTGTGGAATTATAACGGAATCTTGTAAATTGTTTCATTGCTGCTTACCAAATTACAGAAAATGTTTGTTTATACATTATATGTTAATATTATGTTGTAGCATGAATCGTGTGTTGAATTGAGAAAAAGTCCTTGAAGTTTAAAGAGCTTTCTTTAGTTCAGCGACGTGTAGGCCGTAGGGATTTGTGAAATGACCTGTATGTATAGGTGGTGAATAGAATGTTTAGTTTTCTTTTAAAACAGTTAGCTCAATGTTTCCTCTAGATAGTAATGCTCCGTTCAGTGCTTTTTGTCACTTTCTCTAAGAATTTTTAAATGGAAGAAAGGTCTACAAGTAACAGTTTCTTGATGGAGCGGACGGGTAAAGTAGAGAGAGAGACTCTGCTACACCATTCCAGTACAGCATTTGCATTGGTGGCTGTTGATTTTGGACGCCACTCCACAGTTTTTGTGGGAACATCTGTGATGATGTCAACAGGATGGAGGATCACATGGTGATGCAATGAACAATTTGAAGCTCCCCATTTTGAAGTTCTTGAGTTTACTTTTGATCATGCACCTGTATAGCCTCTGCAATTTTCTGATTGACATTTTTCTTAGCTACGGAAGCCCTTCTTTTTTCTTCACTTTTGTGGACAGTATATTAGTCATTAGTCAAACTGATGGAAGAAGCTGATACAGTCATATAGACAATAGAGAAATAGTCAAATTGGAACGGTTTTAGGTGGAAATTTAATTGAACCTTTCTGTAAATTTTTTTTTTTTTTGATTAACTTGCTAAAGACCAGAATTCAAAGGCTCAATGCGCAATCTTTTGATTCCCTTAAACTCTGCTGTGACATTTTGCATGTACAATGACATGACTATTTAGGTGGAATTTGATTGTTCCTATCCAGGTAAAATTAAATAGTTTATTCGATTATAATATTTGGGAGAACGTGAAGTCATTACAAGGAGAATGTTAATTAGAGAGGAAACAACAAAAAAGGAAAATTTTGTTCATGTGGGGATGATTTAAGGAAATAGGAGGTGACCACTTAGTTGAAAAAGACCAACTCTATTAGGCATTCCAACTAAATAAGATTCGAACCCAGGTGATTCGCTTACCAAGCATACAAGAACCTTGCATCTGCAGTATTACGTAGTTTATAAATTGTAATTATTAGGCTTGTTAGGTAACTTTTGTCAGACCAACCTGTCCCTTGTACTTTTAACATGTGACTTTCTGTTGTTTTAATTCCTGATTATTCAATGTACATACTATAGACCAATAGTTTTAAGTCAAGGTTATATCTATTCATCATATTGACGATTCCTTCTTTCAGAATTAAAATTATTAGGCAGTCATCATAAATATCTCTAGCAGGGTGTATGTCACTTTGGGATATAGTATAAAAACGTTTTGAAGTTGAATAGGTAATGTGCTCACAGGATGGAAGTTGAGAAGGAAAGCGTGAAGAAGCAGAAAAAACAATTTAGCACCTTTGGAGGCTTTGGAAAGAAAGAAATAATTTTGATGATGAGGGGGACATTCATTTTTTTTTTTTGGGGCGGGGGGGGGGGGGG